GATATATATATATATATATATATATATATATATATATATATATATACAGGGTTGCCGGCTTTCGGGACGGGCCGAAACCCCGAACGTACAGGACCCCTTCTTCGCGCCGAACGCGGACAAAAAAAAAAACCAAAAAAACAAAATTAAGTTTTCAAGTACGCTACAAAAGTCGCCCGGCCAGGCCCGCCCGGACTCGCCCGGGTCACCCGGGCAACTCATTTCGACCTTTTTTTTTTTCCCTTTTTTTTGGGGGGTGGTGGCCGGTGTTTGCGCTTTGTCTATACTCTCCAAATCCGCCGTGTTTTTCATTTTTCAGATGTACATTGTTGGGGGGTTCGCAGTGGGAGGGGGGGTCTGCAGCGATGTATGATGATATCGCAACCGGTTGTTGTTACCATTCCCAGCAACGGTCTTAACGGTCTGACCAAAGCGGTTGCTGAGACCTGTCAAAGCAACTGGCTTTGGTATCCGCGATCTGTTCGTTGTGTGGTTGAGGCAGCATCTAATTGCTGCTCCATGTCTCAGAAAACCGGTTTTGCAGTCAAGCCAGTTGAACCCAGCAAGTTGTTACTAATTCCTGTGAAGGCAGCAACCGGTCCTTGGTTCTTGTATCAGCAAAGCGGTTTGGTGATATTGTCTGGTGAAGGCAGCAACCGGTTGCTGCTTCTTGTATGAACAATCCGGTTTGCTGATCTTGTTAGCTAGTGCCAGCATGTGCTTGCTACACATGGTACCAACAAACTGGTTGCGAACCTGTTTAACAACAAACCGGGTGTGAACCTTTTGAACAGCAAAACAAAGACGAATTCAAGAACAGCAAAACAAAGGCGAATTGAACAACAGCAAACAATAACAGCTTCCCCCTCCTGCAAAACATGTAGTGAATCTGTTGATTCTGCTGGATATAGCAGAATTGAGACATTGTGCGAGCTCAGAGCACAGCTGTTAGACACAAGCGGCAAGACAACAGTAGAAAGGAATCAATGGTCAATGGCCAGCAATTTGAAAGACATCAAATCCCCGGAGTTCTCCAAACATCGCACAGGCCACAGTACTGATGAAACACATGCAGCATGGCATGCACACTAGTTCAAAAAATGAAGTACGTTGCTACAGGCCAGAAGTTGTCTACTACTAGAAGAAGGAGATGAAGAAGACGCAGAAGTCAAGTTCGGGCATGGCATTCAAGGATCTGTTTCGATTTCCTTCTGTTCTCTCTCTCTCTCTCTCTCTCTCTCTCTCTCTCTCTCTCTCTCTCTCTCTCTCTCTCTCTCTCTCTCTCTCTCTCTCTCTCTCTCCTGAAGAAAGGCACCGTGTCTTCAAGAAACAGTCCCCCGGCAATAAGTCAGGCAAGCCTCTCTCTCTCTCTCTCTCTCTCTCTCTCTCTCTCTCTCTCTCTCTCTCTCTCTCTCTCTCTCTCTCTCTCTCTCTCTCCTGAAGAGGCCTATYCCCAGTCCGGGTCTGTCCCGCCACTCCTCTCTTCATCACTCGCATCCTCCATTCCTGTGGGGTCGCCCTCAAGGACCTGCCAACGTCGTGAGGTCGTTGCCTTTCCCTTTTGTGCGTGCTTCGGCCTTGCCAAGGGAGGACGAGGTGGCAACGGTGCGGATTTTTCTTCTCCCTTTCTGGGTCTCCCCCTCCCACGCTTCACCAACGGAGTGACTTCGGGTTCTGCAACATTCTTCCGCTTCCTGCCCGCCCTGCTTTTATCAATGTTGTCGTGGACGAGAGACTCGTCCAACTCGGGCAGTGGTGGCGGAGGGCGCACAGGCTCCTGCCTCACTGGCTGCTGCATCTCAACCTGCTGCTGCTGTTGCTGCTGTTGTCGCTCCTGCCGCCGCTGCTTCTGGTGCTGCTGTTGTTGTCGCTCCTGCTCCTGCTGCTACTGCTGCTGCTGCTGTTGTCGCTCCTGCTGCTGTTGTTGCTGTTGCTGTTCCCCCCTCTTCATGGGCAACTGTTCGTCGACGGGTTGTTGTTGTGGCTGCTGCTGTCTTTGCTGCTCATCCACCTGCACGGGCTCTCGACGGCAGACAGTTTGCTGCTGCTGCTGCTGCTCGGCCGACAACTCTTGTTGCTGCTGCTAATCATCGGGCTTGTGGTGCTGCAACTGTCGCTGTTGGTGGACCTGTTGTTGTTCCTCCGCTTCGTGCAGCAGTTGTTGATCGGGTTGCTGGAAGGACTGCTGGTGTGCCTGTTGCTCCCAATCGTCCCGTTTTGTTTGGTTAACTTGCTGTTGCTCATCAAACGGGAAGTGCTGGTGCTGCACCGAGAGCATGTTGTGCTCAAGCTCCTGCTCTTGGCCGCTCGCTCGCTGCTGCTCGACTTGCGAGTGCTGTTGTTCAGGTGCTTGTCGTTGGGCTTCGCTCCGCTGCTGTTCCGCCGACGGTTCCGAGTGTTTCTGAACCCTTTTTCGGATGTCTCCCCTCATCCCGGGAGGCGGTTGTGGCATAAGTGGTCTCGAACGAAGGGGGGCTGCCGCGCGACGTGCGTCTTCCTCCTGAATGCGCTGCTTCACGAGATTCCGGTCCCTCTCTGCCATGGCTTTTGCTGCAGCCCTATCAACCTCGTCACGGGAGCCTGTTTCCACTGCGTGTCGCTGCGGCTCTTCCGACCAGCACTCCACATCGCTGTCCATCCTGTCCACATGAGCATCGGGAACATTGAAACCCTCTTCACATGCCACATCATCTTCGTTCTCGTTGTCATATGATGGCGGAACAGCAGCGAAGTCAGGGTCACAATCCTCCTCATCCCCACACTCGTCCTCCTCCTCCTCCTCCTCCTCCTCCTCCTCCTCCATATCCATCACAGCCTTCCCCTTTGCTGATCGTGGCAGCGGGGTCCTCCTCTCGTGCGGTTTTCCGCTCCAGATGAGTTACTCATCACTAGATTCCGTGTCTGAGTCATATGAACCCCCCCCAACCGGAATCCTTCCCTTCGGGGTCTTCCTCAAGTTTGATTGCCTCCTCGCCTCCTCCTCATCCTCCACCAAAGGGCCGGGGAGAACGGGATCATCATTTGGTGAAGGAGCCTCTGGCTCGTCGAAGAAAGATGCCCAAACATCCACGAAACCGTCCTTCAAACTCTTGGGGATGCACTGGAGCTGCATGTTCCAGTGGATGAACACCAACTTGGCCAGACTCGCGCTTGACAAATTGTTCCTCCGCTTCGTGTGAATCAAGTCCAGCAATGACCAGTTCCTCTCACAAGGTGTGGCTGTGCTCCACATGGGTGTCACCCTGGTGGCAATCTTCTGGAGGTCTGGATGATTCTCGCCATAGGACGACCACCACTGTGACACTGTCTTTCATGACAATGAGGAGTCAGCCACCCCAAAGGTGTCCCGCATCGGTTCCTTGTGACAAAGATCCTTTGGTGGCTTCTGATGGAAAGCCCAGAGACTTTGCCAAACATCCAAATGGTTTTGCTGCGAACCCCACCTCTCTCCTCCAAGCTGCGACAAAAAATGTTTGATGGCGTTGTGCACAAGAGGGGTGTTCTTGTCCAGCACCCAACGCGGATCCCTTCTCGTTGGGGACAACAGAAAATTCGCTACGTGTACGGGCTGTCTCATCATCTTGCACCGGTCGTCAACAATCTTCATGATCTCCTTCTCTTGCTGCAGTGTGATGCCACGGATGCTGCGCAAGCAACTTTGGAGCATCTCCCCAAAGCCCCACAAAGATGATGGCGCCACGCCGTCACGGTCCATCCGCCTGAGGAGTTCATTCACTGGCCGCATCGCGAGAACGATCTGATACACCTCCTCCCACCACCGACTTGATCGAACTGTGTGGTAAATCTTGTCGGCCTTGTCCCTCAGTTTCCTCGAGCTCCAGTGGATGTTCTTCCATCCTCTCTCCATCATCTCCTCCAGCACCCCCCTCCTATCGTGCAATCTATTCAACATTTCAAACGTGGAAGCGAACCTCACCTCTGTGGGCATGATCAGGGTCTTCCTCTCCTCCAACGAGCAAGCAGAGAATAGGGATACTGTGCGATGGTGGTTCTTGATAAACTTCACCATCATCTTCGCCCTCTTCACTATCTTGCTCACCCAAGGGAGTTTCACCATGTCCTTGAGAAGTAGACTGAGCGTGTGAGCAGCGCACGGCACCCAAGGGATCTTCGCAATATCCGGATCTGTACTTTGTGACAAGATCCTCGCGACCCGTTTGTTCACTCCAGCGTTGCCAGTGCAGATTGCGTTCACCCTATGCACGCCAATCTCCTTGATGACCTCCTCCCAGAGCTTAGCAATCGCTGCAGCATTCGTCTTCCTGTGGCTCATGTCAACCACCTTCAGCAACACAGCACCACCCGCCCCCGCGCCAATGAAGTTCAAAACGGGCCTTCACTTGCAATCTGTCGTACCGTCTGTGATGAGAGTGCAACCCGTCACGTCCCACTGGTCGATCAAGGGCTGCACCGCTGCCATTACCTCCTCGTACACGGCATCCAAAACCACAGTCCGCAACGTGTCGAAGGTGGGCATGTCCACCTTCGCCTTCGCTGCCCCCAGCTCCATGTACAAGTCATGGAGGGCCCGTGACTCATCGACACGTACGAAATTGAAGGGCACGCCGGAGCCAAACAACGCCCTCCCCCATTGCATGTCCAGCTTCTTCTGTGCGGTGTTCTCTGTCCATCGGCGGATGGAGGTCTGCTTAGTCTTCCCAGACTTTGCTGCAGACGAAGACCCCGCACAAGAGGGTGTCACATGAGTGATGGCTTCTCCATCCTTTGTCCCACCCTCGATATCATCCTTGGTCCCTCGCACCTCTCGGGCGGATGCTGGAGGTGGCCGCAAGTCCTGCTTAATGTCATCTACCGCGGTCTTGTCTGCATTTGCCGCAGGCTCCATCCCGGTGTCCTCTGCAATGCCCTTGTCGACCTTTTACACATGGAGCATCCTCTTTGCTGCATCTCCCTCAATGGTGGCCCCTCTCAGCGCCAGCAGATGCAACATCTCCCCAGTTCTTTTGGCAGCTTTGCCCTTCTTGATGAAGTGCTCAACCGCCTGGGTCTTTGATGCCACAAACACCTTCGTGCATGGGATCTGCTTCCTGCCCCCTTTATATCCACCGGTACACCACATTATCCCTCTCCAATTCCTTTTGCCGGAGCTTGGGTTGTGGCTCGAACGGCGGTGAGGAGGCCTTCGCCTTGCCCTTGCCCGCTCTGCTGCTTGTCCCGCTTGCAGTGACCTTCTCCTTGCCCTTGTCGGCTCCGCTGCCTGTCCCGCTCGTCGGGGCCATGCCTCATACCTCAAAGAGGAGGAGGAGGAGGAAGAAGAAGAAGAAGAAGAAGAAGAAGAAGAAGAAGAAGAAGAATGGAGAAGGATGAAGACGGGAAGTCGATTTGCAGAGCTCGGAAGGGAAGAAGCCTTAAGAAGACGGGAGGATGCGCACCGATGGCATGGAGTTGTGATCAGCAACCAAGGAGGACAACGAAGCACATACACACAAGAAGTAACACATGTCAGAATTTACTCGTCTACCTGTCAAGTTTCCGCTCGTGCAGCCTAACTCGTGTCAAAATTTGCTAGTCTACCTGTCAAGCCTAACACATGTTAAAAAAAAAGAGAGAAAAAAAAGAGGGGATGAAGAAAGAGTTCGTTGCTCTTTATTCCATCGTTCGTCCTCTCCTCCACCATCCTCCTCCTCCTCCTCATTCTTCTTCTCATGCTCCTCCCACTCCTCCTACTCATCCTTCATCCTTCCCCTCTTGCTCATCCTACTTCTCATCCTTCATCCTCCTCCTTTCTCCCTCCTCCTTTCTCCCTCCTCCTTTCTCCCTCCTCCTTTACTTCGTCTACTCCTCCTCGTCCTCCATCTCCTCCCTCCTCTTTCTTCGTTAGTCATCTTTCGTCAAAGAAGTCCTTCTTTTCCCCCGTTCTTCTCCCCTTGTCCTTCCCTTTTCCCGTCATCCTCCTCCTCCTCCTCCTCCTCATCGGTCGTCTTCCTCCTTTCTCCCTCCTCTTGCTTCTCCTCCGAATCCTTTCTCGCCATGTGGACATCCCACCAATCACCCTCCCCAAAACCAATTCTCCCATTCATCCAAATCACGCAGTTGCCGCCATGGCCGCTTTCACCACGTGGGCGAAAGCGGCGAAGATGAAATGATCACGAGCGGCTAAGCAGGAAGAGGGAAAAAAAAAAAAAAAAAAAAAAGTTCATGAGCTTCATTATCATCATCATCATTCGTCTTTCTCCTGTCTCCCTCCTCGTGATCCCCCTCGTAACCCGTCCTCCTCACGCGGACATCCCGCCAATCACCCTCCTCCTCCTCGAGTCCTCCTCCTCATCATCATCATCATCATCATCGGCATCATTCGTCTTCCTCCTTTCTCCCTCCTCCTCCTCCCCCTCCGAATCCTTTCTCGCCACGTGGACATCCTGCCAATCGCCCTCCTCCTCCTCCTCCTCCTCCTCCTCCTCCTCC